GGTAATGGTGTTGTTATCATCATTATTCGGATTTAAGAAGGCGCCTAAAGTACCAGAATATAATACATGAGCTCTGATTTTGCGTGAATAGCCCATGATACCAGTTAAACTTCTGTATTCCACGTAAGGGTTACTATTTGGTGTTCTACCTAAAGAACAGTGTAGATATACAGGTGATAAGGATTTTCTTTTATGTGAAGGAACAGAAGTAATTTCTTCTGACATGGGAGAAAGGTAAGGGAATAAAAATCTTGTTAAAGAGTTTTTACAAGAAGTACAAGTAGCTACTCTAGGTTCAGCGATACGATTGATGTTAGGATTAAAGAGTAAAGCAACACTGGGTATGTGCTGTTGTAAAGGGTAAGTAATTGATAAATCGTAAAAGATCCAAGATGCCTTTTCAAGATATAAAAGTGTTCCGCAATATACACAAGCGATTCAAGGCTATTGATTTAAAATGTTGTTCTGAAATTTATCATATAATCTTTGGAGGTTTGGTGAGAGCCTTCAATAAGTATGGGTTTGAGGGTCGTTACTAAGTGAGTTGGATGATGTAGAATTATTAGAGTCGTTAGAGTGTGATGGTGGTTGGGAGGATGCGAAATTTGTAGGATTATTAGAATCGTTAGTTTGAGATGTTGGTTGGGAAGATAAGTCTATTAGTGATTCGTATTCATCATCGAATATATATATGTTACAGAGTTGGTGCGTCATTTTTTTTAAGTTTGAAATAAAAGTTTTTGTTTTCTGTAGATATAGTAACTGATTTGAGGTATATTAAATATATCATTTTTATTATAATATGAATATGGAATGTGATGTATTATTATTTAAAGTGCAGTATTATTATTTAGAGTGCAGTATTATTATTTAGAGTGCAGTATTATTATTTAGAGTGCAGTATTATTATTTAGAGTGCAGTATTAATAAGATCGGTAGTAAGTATTTAAAAGAATATGATGAAAATATAAGAAAGTTTGTATTTAATTAAGTTTGAATAAATAAATTAAATGGAGTTAAAATTGAATTTAAAGTAAGATGTGAGTATGGGTTTAAATTTTTTTTTAATTTATTTTGAGAGATAAATTATAATTTCGCTGAAGACAAAATGTGGTTTAAATATTGTTTTTTGGTGGATAATGAATATGTAAAATATTTGGCTTTAGGTACGTAGGTTTTCGAAGAGATATTTAATAGATGGTTACCATTTTAAGAATTATTTTTATTGCAGTTAATTGAATGTAACTTTTTAAGAATTATTATTATTGCGGTTAATTGAATTTTATTTTTTAGGAAGTATTTTTTTTTATTGAATTTAATTTTTTAGGAATTGGTATTTCTGAATATGGATTTCAATATACAACGATAATGAATATCGATTATATAGTGTTGCCAAATTTAAAATTGGAAACAAATTTAGAAATTCACTATAATTAATTATTTCATATAAGATAGTAATTAAATTTAGAAGTTTGTTGAAAATCTATTGAAATGTAACTAAATATGAAAAAAGAATATTAAGATTTCAATAACAAGTTATCGATGTAAAAGGAAAATGGCGGTGCAATATAAATGTTAGACTTTTTAGGATTTTTAGGTGAATGCAATGCAGCATGATGCAGTATTGGTTGTGTAATATATATAGTAAATTTAATATATGACTGATTATTTTGTGATAGCAATAGTTCTTTGTTATTTTGTTCTTTTTTATACTAATAATATATACATTTATTTATTTAGTTTAGTAAAGAAAATAAAAGCAAATGCACTTTTTTAAACGTGTCTTTACGTTCTGTAAGGTGGGTTAAAAAAAAATACTAAAAAAAAAAAAAGAAAATCAATCTTTGTTAGGTTTAGGTTCTTTGATCATTTTGCGAGGCTTCGACTTGGTCTTGTAGGGGTTGTTGAGGGGATATATTTGGAATCAGGTTGACTTCTAAGGCTGTAGAGACACCTTGATTTTGAGGAATGGAAGTTGCATTCATGTTGGTTAGGGTATTGCATCCTTTTTTTGAAGTGTTAGAAGTGGCACCACGAGGTTGACGATTAGTTCTTGCTTGCATATATCCAGGGATAGTGGTTTGTGATAGCTACGAAGGAATAGCAGATTGGTTGTTTGAATTGTTATGGTTAGAATTAATCATAGATAGGTCTTCTAAAACCAAAACGTGTTTTTTTGTAGTTGCTTCGTAAGTAATGGTGCCAACCAAGATTGCTATAGTTGATCGAAAATTTTGGTTAATTGTGCCTGTTTTATTGAAGAGGTATTTATTATTAACGTTATATCTAGTTTTGACCCAGAAGCTTGATGGTTCTTTGTCTCCAACTTTTTCTTCAACATAATACTCAAGAATTAAGTCGTCTTCGACATTTTTAACCGTTTGGTTGGTGATACTGACAATGACTAAATTTATGCCCAGTGCAGGCATATTTTCAAAGTCAAAATCTGTAAGTTTAATAGATGTGGCACTGACCTTATTAAGGAGTTTTAATAAAGAGGTTAAAGAGATGTTTTTTTTTTTTTTTTTAACAAAAAAAAAAGAGCTCATACTGTATAATAATTTTCATGTCCAATGAACTTTCTTTTTAGGTATATAACATCACTGTTTACAAATGATTCAATAGAGTGATTGTTGGTTTTGTTTAGTGGGACGAAGGCTTCTATATTTAGGTATATAATATCAGTAGGGTCGTCTTTTTTTAATCTAACGATACTGTTAATCTCTTTGATAGCAAATTCCTGAGTGAGTCATTCTGTGCACGAGTGAACAAAACAAAATGCTGATAATTTAGCAGGCATTTTTGTTTAAAGATTTGAAAAGAATAGATAAAAAAAAAAGTGTATTTATAAGATTTTTTTATTTTTTTTTGTTATAATTTATTAATAGTTATTCATAGACGCGAATGATATTCATAGATGCGAATGATATCTTGTATTTACAGTTTTTATTTGCATTCGTAATGTTAGGAATCGACTAGGGCGACCATAAAAATTACGGGTTATGTGAATAGCGCCACTGCCGCAATTGCATGAGATTCAAAAATTGAAATTCGGCACGCATTTTCTCTTGAACTCTTTTTTCCTTTATCAATAATGATTGCAATTTCGACTTTTTCTTCGACTTTGAAGCTTCATGCAATTGAGTGACTGATAAAATTTTAATTCACTATATAGAAGTTTTAGGCATTCGTAAAGAAGCAGGATTGCACATTGGCATTCGATCTTTAAATTCTCCTGCCCCATAAACATTTTTGATTAAATCATTACTAAACTTTAAAATCGGATAATTTGCTTCATCTCAGCAACAATTAAGGGTGCTCTCAAGCATCTATCAGTGTAATTAGCTAGCTATAGAGATCGTGCACAAATACTACACAACTCTATGATAAAAAAGATGGTCTCTGACCATCTTTTTTTTCATCGTGATAATGAACTCGCTTGACAGAATAATTTATTTTCAACTAATTAAAATTGACCCATTAATTTAGATGCTTGAGAGCACCCTAAGACGGTAAGTATTTAATGTAATATTATTTATCAAAGTATGGAACACCCAAATAGTATGGGTAGCATCCCAAAGGAAACATGAAGCAAGATTTAACTTTACAGAACAGTATGATACTATTCATCATATAGTTTTGAGATATTCCAAATAGTTTGGGTAACATCGCTAGATGCGAGATTGGAAATTTTGTTTAGTAGTTGTATCGTTGGTTTAGATAGTCTTGTAAATAGAAGAATCGCTTTCTAATGAATAACCCGATTTTTTTTTTTAACTATATTTAAATTTGCTTGATCCAAGCCATCTTATTTAAAATATTAGATTCTGTATCATTTAAAATAAAATGTCTAGACTAATGTAATGTTAGAGTGTTTGTATCGGTTAATAATGAAAGATCTCAATAAAATAAATTGATCGAAGCTCAGTACACGATTGTTAAAGTTTTTAAACATTAAAGGCTATTCATCACGTAATTTAATATATTAAGACCCATAATTTGCAAGAGTACACGATTTAAGTTAGTTCAATTGAAATTCAACTTACCACTCTAGTAAACTGTTATTAATTTCTCATAAATAACACTCTTTAGTTCTAGTTTAAAAGAAATTCTTTTGTCGCTCATTTTAGGGTGTTGGGCTATATGTAAAATGATTAATATGAAATTGTTTTGTAATTATTAATTGCTTTTGTTCACTCGATCAAACCAACTCATTACGTTTAATAACTGTTTTGCATAAAATTTATTAATTATGATTAATATATTAGATAATTGCTTTTGTTCACTTGATCGAACCAACTCACTATGATTAATATATGAGGTAATTGCTTTTGTTCACTTAACCAAACCAACCCATTACGTTTAATAACCATCTGTTTGTTATAAAATTTATTGAATTTTTGTAATTGTTCTGTAAATACTTCAAATAAAATTAACTAATTTCGATTAATATATTAAATTTTGTAATTGTTGTTTCACTTCAAATAGATTAGGTTGAACTAACCGATATTGTACACTTAAATTAATAAAACTGTTAAAGCCATATCTCGAGTTTATTAAAAGAAACAAAGTTAATGTTTGAATTAGCACGACATACAATTGTCTATCCAATTATTGTTTAGACTTATGTGATTTCGAAAATTTTTATTGTTAAACAATGAAAACTTTTCGAAATCGTATAAGTATAGAGACTCTAGTCATGATTATTTCAACAATAAAACATATATCAGCTCTCTCTAATAAATATCAAGTCCAATCTACTATAAAAAATGAAGGCACCACAAATTTGAAACTATACCTATACCTGAATCATAAGCATCTAAAGCCTATTAACATTAAGCTTATCTACAAATTATTTTACAAAGATGATGTGTTCTAGTTGCAAAGTTAATCGTTTTGAAGATCAATTCATTTGGGGAGGTGTTCGCCACAAAACTTGCAGAATATGCAAAGAAAGTCGAGACTGAAGTAAAATAAAAAAATTGCTAGTTGTCACAAATTCAACTATTGAATTGGTTAAAAACCCGAAAGCCTTGACCATGATAATATTCGGGAAATGGATACCGGTAACACTGAACGTATTGAGGTTGATTGTCTTGACGTGGGTGATCTAATTGAACATGAACTCGAAAATCTTACGGCTAATGCAGTTTATCAGACTCGTTTGTTAGTGAATGTGAATATAACTCCAGATATGATGACAAAGGAAGTTGCTGCTCTTGTAGTTGCTGAAATAGAAGGTGGTGATGATTATTCATGGAAATAAGTCGTGATTTCAATTATCATTATATATTATATTATTATTATTATTATTATTATTTTTTTTTTTTTTATAATCTCAACATAGCCGTGACAATTGCTTGACTAAATATATTATTGCAGTTTTTTAGACGCCAAAATGTCTAAGAAGTTTGGTGATAAGATTGGAACATTCTATTATATATGTTGTCAATCAATTGAAGCACAGAGAAAATATAAAAATTCCAACCGTAAACGACGAATTCATTATGATTGCAAAGGCAAAATTACAGTTAAGGTTGATATGGATCTTGGTATTATAGCGGTGGACAATTACCATGGGCTCCTGCATCCACGTCCTGATATTTGTGCTGAAATGCCTGATAAATTGCGAAAAGAAATTGAAAAAAATTCGCACCTTACCACTATAGATCTCATGAATCACCTACGGCATCGAGGTTTCGATACTACAAATTTTTCACCAAAATGGATTTATTATTGAAAGTCTATTGCAGGTAGTTATAAAACTTTTTAATTTTTAACAAAATTAACAGTAATTTTTAATCATGCAATAATTATTAAGTGCTTAAAAATTACTATTAATTTAATAATTGTCGAAGATAATTCGGAAATCGGATGATGCTAAAATTTGGGTCTTGATTTAAAATTATAAACTCTACCTATATTCTCTTATTATAAACACTAATCTTAAACCCTAACCTAACTCATATTAAAATAAGTAAAAATTTTAGCATAATCCGATTTCAGAATCATCCTGACGACAATTCATTTTTAATTGTCAAAAATTTAAAATTATTCTTCACCAATTGCAGGTTAAAGACTTTTTCAACGTCATGAAAATCTGGTTGAATCGGCACGTCTGCTACTTGAAGAACACAGTGGTCAAGGTTTTCATCAGTGTTTTGATATACAAAATTCGGAGTCTACGATTATCGCATTTACAACCCCACTATTAGATGAAATTAATAATCGCAACATTAATATTAGTAAAATTTATATGGACGCGACGTATCGAACTGCAAAAAGGCATTACGAATTATATGGTATAATAGCAGATATCGATGGAACTGGATTTCCAATTGCTTATCTGCTATTTGATACAGCAAAGACAACAGATCAGAATACTGATAGATGCAAACACAGCGAAATCTTGAAAAAGTTATTGGAAGCCGTAAAAGCACGTAATATCAACCCTTCCTTTGTGTTTATGGACAAGGATTTTGCAGAAATTAATGCTGTAACGGCGGTATGGGGTCATCAGTAGTACAATTATGTACTTGGCATATCAGACGGGCTCTAAAATTTAAGCTTAAAGAGAGGGCTAAATGATCAAGTAGGGCAGGATTACTAAATGTAAATTATGACATCAATAGTGCTGCCAATGAATTCAATTTTATAAACCCTACTTTTTATCCAAGCGAAGAAGATAGAAACCCGAATACGTACGTTATATGCCCAGAGGTAAGGATTGAATTTTTTTTTTAGCTAACTGATCAGTTAACTAAAATTATTAGTTGATATGCATGGGTGTCTAAAATATCTCTCTTATCGAAATCTAAACGGCGAAAAGAGATTTGATTGTCAAAATATTAAAAACATTTAGTACGTTGAAATTATTTTATAAAAAAAAAAAAAAATTGAAAATATTACAAACATTTTGACATACCGTCTGCTGTAGATTATCCATACTTTCGACATCCATGTATAGTTGTTGACTAACCAATTAGTCATTTGATAGTTAAACTAACTAAATTTCTTACCTAAAGGTGCATCAAGAAATAATTTTGAATATAGTACAAAAACACTTTGACCTCCATCCGCTTATACCAGTCGATAACCAGAGAAATGTTTGGTCACCAGAGAATATAAGACAAAATGCTGTAATGGAGATGTATCAGTTTTGTGTTGCAAATTCATTGCAGCTACTATGGGCTTATCTCTGGACCAACTGGTACTCTCCATAACAATGGCATCTGTAGGTGCGGTCAACTAAACACACCATTCCCTTTAGTAAAACCACCATGAAAATTGAAGCACATTGGGGTGTCCTTAAGCGGTATTACCTACACCGCTTTAATCGACCTAGGCTAGATTTACTTCTATGGACGCTTTTTAGGAAAGTAGTTCTGGCTCAGAAAGAACGATTCTTTCAGATTTTGAATGGTATAGTAGAACCGTGGTGGTGGGGAAGCTTTAAAAGGGAGTAGAACTACGCTAGTGCAAGCGACAAACAATGAGCAGCGATGCATAATAATTTTAACGACGGCAAGAGAAAACGGTGCATTAATACGCAAATGGCAGATTCAGCTAGTTCATATTTTACTGATACCACTCGGTGGGTCTGCAGTTGTCCTTCCTTTGTTGGTGGTTGTTTTTTATTATGCAAGCATTTAGTTCAGAGAGTTGTAAATTTGCCTAATAGGGATCGTCAAAGGTTGATTAGAAGTAATTTTGAACGCCGTACTATGCCGCTGTTCCTTGTTATAAAAGATTTTATAAATGAAGATGTTACGAATAGCACCTTATCTGCCTCATCAGCAACATCTATTGAAGTTTTTGAAACTCACAATATTGATGATATATCTGATAATAATCTTGAAAATCAAGATGATGCTTGCATTTTCATTGAATCAAACTGGCCTTTGTTTGAACAAGCATTTAAACGAGCCCGCACTGAAAAATTAGCCAATAATTGGAATTATGTTCATGCAGTCATGAAGTGTAATAAATTATTGCAAATAGAAGAAGAAGTGCAGGCAGTAGAGCAAAAGAGGAAACGGCAAACTACCTGGGCTCCAGAGA